AGAGCAACTAATCCCGTTTGGCACAAGTGCTGAAGCTCACTAGCCCTAGAGCCTGCAGAGAAGCCACTGCAATGAGAAGCCTGTACGCTACAACTAGAGTAGCCTCTACTTGCCACAACTAGGAAAAGCCTAAGCAGCAATGAAGACCCAGAATGGCCAAAAAATAAATAAATAAAAATTTAAAATAAATAAATAAAATAGTATAATTATAAAAAAATAATAATAATACAGCTTCACAAAGGTCAAGAGGGAGAGTCTTAATGGCAAATTGGTCACTAGTGCTAAATGTTGTGGAGAGTTCAAATAAAATTAGAAAAGAGATCACTGGTAGAATATGGAGTTTATTAGTGATTTTTAAGTGCTCTTTTAGTAGAAAGGAAGCCACCTTTTTGGATTAACTGAAGAAATTTAAGGACTGAATTGGGAGTAAGGGATATGCAGTTTTAGAAAACAATGAACTCTGAACAGGAGAAAATGTATAGACCCAGCCTTGGAAGGTCAGGGAGGTAAAACCAATTAAGACAGCAGTGTTGGTTTGTCTGTGTTTGTTTTTTTATTTTTAGGTTAAGAGACCCATGCATGCTGAAGGTAGAGGGGATAAAATAAATAATAGTTAATTAATAAATAATTTTCATTGCTTTCTGGCTCAGGAAACCTATCCTATACATTAAAGTTTGAAGGAAAAGCAAGAATGAATTTTTTTTTTAATGTGAACCATTTTTAAAGTCATTGCATCTGTTACAATATTGCTCATGTTTTATGTTTTTATTTTGGCCTGGAGGCATGTGGGATTTTAGCTCCCTGACTAGGGATCAAATCCACACCCCTTGCCTTGGAAGGCAAAGTCTTAACCACTGGACCACCAAGGAAGTCTCAGGCATTTTTGAAGAGAAAAATATGTAAATATCACAGGCACTTTTTCATATATGTCAGAGGGGCAAGAATTGTGCCTATAAGTCTAGGGAGAAAAACATTACTGCTGACTGTGAGCCAGCTGCTGAGGACTGGTTTTCCATTCGAGATGGTTTCTCTGATGTGAAGGTATATCATTCATCCCAATCATTTATTATTAACGAAACACATTGTCTCCCTAGGACTCTCCAGCACGTATCCAAAATGGAAGGGAATACACTGCACCCCTCACACCTCATTGGTGCTCCCTCAATGTAAGCTGGTAAGATTTAAGATGGAACCTTAAATAGGAGTAGCCAGGCATACTCCCCCAGCCCCCACCTCATGTCCCTGCAGAAAGGGCAGGGGTGGAAAGGGATGGAAGGCTGTACCCTGTAAACCTTCCCTACTCTCCTGGGAAGTGGGGACAACCTTCCCTGAGCTGCTGGAGCATCTTCCACTTTGTATCAGAAACTATTTTTGCATCTGTCACCCCTGCTACCCTATGAGCTTCTCAACAGGAGGGACTGGGCTTTTTTGAAGTCCCCAGCCCAGAACCTGGCTCCTGGCAAGTAGTCACACTTTGCTGAACAGATGGATGGATAGAGGAACACAAGAGAGAGCTGTGAGATTCCAGCTGCTGACAGGTTGCATCCTGATGTTCTTTTTCTGGGCCAAAGGGTTGTTTGTTTCCACCTCTCTATCCCTTTTCCAGACTGCTTCACCAGCTGAAAGTACACAATGGAACAGTGTGCCTTTCAGCAAATAGAGTGAGCAATGGAAAATGCAAAGCATCAACCCCAAATGCAAGCTGTGGCAGGCTGGACGCGATTCCAAATGAAGAGAAACTGCTTATTTTCACTGAAATGGACTGAAGTCCTCTGGGAAGGATTATTTGGCTCCCATTCTGAGCGCTGGGGTTGATAAAGCTGCTGCACCCAGGCTCAGCACGCCCCCTGTTGGATTTAGCTGACATTTAGTAACAAGAGGAACAGGAGAGCATCCTGTCTGATGCAAATACTTCTTGGACACAGGGGAGCAGCGAGAGGGCTCTTTCTGTGAAATTCTCAAAGAGCCATCAAATGAGTCAGAGCATATTCACTAGACTATCCCTGGGATATAATTTGATTCATCCAAAAATATGGACATTCTTTTTTGAAGACCAGAAATCCCTTCCTGATGAGAGAGTCAGAATGGCATGGACTTGATTCTTTTTATGTGTGCAAACACAAAAGCAAATCAACCCCCAAAACTTATCTTCAGGACCCCCCAATGTAATCTGTATATGTCGACTGATAGACAACTGGTTAAATAAGTATAGTACACCCTTCTTAGGTGACTCAGTGGTAAAGAATCCACATGCCAATGAGTTCGATCCCTGGGTCGGGAAGATCCGCTGGAAAAGGAAATGGCAACCCACTCCAATATTCTGGCCTGGAAAATCCCATGGACAGAGGAGCCTGGTGGGCTACAGTACATGGAGTCACAAGGAATTGGACACGATTTACTGACTAACCACACACATGCACATTGGAAAACAAGGCCTCTCTTGTACTGATATGAACAATCTCCAAGATATATATTCAGTTCAGTTCAGTTCAGTCGCTTAGTCGTGTCTGACTCTTTGCGACCCCATGAATCACAGCACTCCAGGCCTCCCTGTCCATCACAAACTCCCGGAGCTTATCCAAACTCATGTCCATCGAGTCGGTGATGCCATCCAGCCATCTCATCCTCCATCATCCCCTTCTCCTTCTGCCCCCAATCCCTCCCAGCATCAGGGTCTTTTCCAATGAGTCAACTCTTCACATGAGGTGGCCAAAGTATTGGAGTTTCAGCTTCAGCATCAGTCCTCCAATGAACACCCAGGACTAATCTCCTTTAGGATGGACTGGTTGGATCTCCTTGCAGTCCAAGGGACTCTCAAGAGTCTTCTCCAACACCGCAGTTAGAAAGCATCAATTCTTCAGCACTCAGCCTTCTTCACAGTCCAACTCTCACATCCATACAAGACCACTGGAAAAACCATAGCCTTGACTAGACAGACCTTTACATTAGTAACTGACAAAAAGCAAAGTGCTGATATATATATATATATATATATATATATATATATATAAGTTTTTGTAGGTGTGTGAAGACTTCCTAGAGAAGATTCCACAAGAAAATAATAATTGTTGTCCCCTGAACCAGAAATTAAGTTTGCTTCAGATAGGGATAGAAAGAAAACTTCTTTTCACTATATTTTCTTTGTGAGCCATTTGCAATTTGCATCTTATGTGTCACCTATGAAAGCTAATCAATTTTTTAAAAGAAAGGACCTTATGACAGTCCTGTTAGTTTCCTTACTGTCACTCTTCTTTCTCTCCAGAAGTCTTGTCAATCCTCAGTGGAAGGAACTCAAACTGTTATTAACACATTTTTTTTTTATCAAATTCTAAAATAAATAGGTACTCTGTCAGTTCTAGTATATAAATACATGTGAATTTATATACCAGTTCATTCTATTTGAATCTCAGACAAGAAAGCCACTTGTTTCTGTGGAAACAGCAATTGAAGTGTCAGGGGAAATATTTTGTTCAATAGCTGTTGGGACTATTCCAGATGATTCCAGGCTATCCCAGACAGTGAGTTCCTCAGCTTCTTTCTGGGTGGGTGGCTTCTCTGACTGGATTAATAGGGCCTTGCAATTTTTTACGCTTCCTAATGATAATGCATGCCAGATGAGAAGTGACCTTTTGCCAAGATCATCATCGATCCAGCTGGGGAAACCCAAGGTTGGTTTCCTAACCGGGGAAAAGGTTTGCAGCTTTTCTGGGGGAAAGGGGCTGGTACTGCTCCAGTGCTGTGCTAGAGGGTAAAACCAGGGAGAATGGGCCTTCTCTCCTGGACTTCTTGATCCTGCTCAGAAGTGCCTGCTCCTTGGTACCCATCATAGTGGGAAATATATTTGTAGGTTGACAGGCTGGCGGCACACATGGGTGGCAGCATCTGCCCTTCCCTGTGCTGGTGAAAGATACAGCCTGCCAAGATGGAAAGTGCCAGAGAGAGGTCCTGACACCTGGTTTGAGCTCCAGAGTAATGTGAACTTGCTGGCAAACCTCTTAGCAAGTCATTTTCTCTCTCCAGACCCTCTGTTTCCAGTCTGTCGAGTGACAAGGTGGGGTCTGATATTTCTGCAAAGCGCCATAGTCTCTGGGCTCCAGAGAGATGGGTGAACTCCCTGTCTTGCACTCAACTCGGTGTCAGCCAGGCCTCTGGGGCAGGCGGAAACACGGGGAAAGGTGGTTTTTAGAGAAAGGTGAGCAAAAACCTCTAGTTTCTATTTTATTGCCCATCTTTACCCTCCTCTGTTAGGATAATTCTAAGACGGACTTGAGGAGCTTGGAGACCCCTCACCACCACTGTGGCTCTAACGTGTAAGTTCTTCCCTCCCTTCGCAAAGGACCCCTCAAGCTTTTTCGACCAGTGCTGGGTAACTTGATGGGGCGGGTAGTCAGAGGTCCCGTAGAAAAGGCTGTGGAAGCCATAGATCCTTTCCCTCTCTAAAACGGGACACCGGCAAACACAATAGTTTGCACGTAGTTTCAGGATATCCTGTCCCACCTGACGACCTGCTCTGGAACTTAAAAGGCAGGGGTGGGTTTGCGGGTGAGAGAAAAAAGCGGGAGGGAAAAGCAGAGCAACACTCCAGGACCTGTTTCCCTTCCCAAGCGCACATTCCTCTGCCCCAGTCCCGCTCCCGCCGCCTCCACTGCCAGCGGAGGGCCTGGTCTCCCGTTCCAACTATTCCAACCATCCTAGGAAGGGTGGGGCGCTCGGCTCTTGGGTCCCCCTGGGCTGCCCCTCCTTCTCCAGCATCGGTCTCCCCTTCTGCCCCGGTCCCTCCCTTTCTGGGGTCGGGCCAGCCAATGGGTGACGAGACTCCTGGGTTTGGCCTGGGATTCGGGGAACTCACCGATCCCCCGCCCCACAGTTCTGGCCACCATCCCGGTGCGCACGGACGTGGCTCGAGTTTCCTCCGCGCTCTCTCTCGCTCTTCCTCTTCTCCGGGTCTCCCGCTCCCGCTTCAGCTCCACCCGGCCGGCCCCGCACGGCTCCGGGCAGCCATGGAGGACACCCAGCTCCATATCATCGAGCAGCCGCTTTCCGGGTACCCCGACGCCGGGGACCAGGGGTCTTCCACCATGGGGGCTCCGGCGGCCGAGGAGCCGTCGGGGGCCGGCTCTGAGGAGCTGATCAAATCAGACCAGGTGAACGGCGTGCTGGTGCTCAGCCTTCTGGACAAAATCATCGGCGCCGTCGACCAGATCCAGCTGACCCAAGCGCAGCTGGAGGAGCGGCAGGCGGAGATGGAGGGGGCCGTGCAGAGCATCCAAGGTGAGCTGAGCAAGCTGGGCAAGGCGCACGCCACCACGAGCAACACCGTGAGCAAGCTGCTGGAGAAGGTGCGCAAGGTCAGCGTCAACGTGAAGACCGTGCGCGGCAGCCTGGAGCGCCAGGCCGGCCAGATCAAGAAGCTGGAGGTCAACGAGGCCGAGCTGCTGCGGCGCCGCAACTTTAAAGTCATGATCTACCAGGTGAGTTGGCGGGCGGACCGCGCCCAGAGGTCCGGCGTCCCCGGCCCGGGGCTCAGGGTGGGGGGACCTGCCCGCGGCGCGGCTCTTGCGGCAGCCTGACCCGGCTCGGGGGATCCACCCTCTTTCCACGAGCGCTGCTGGGGTGGGGTTGGGTGGGTGGGTTGGGGGCGGGCTCCTGGAGCGCTCAGAGGGGCGCGCGGTGCACACCGCGACTCCTCACCCAGACGCTACCTCCGGTGTCCAACGCGTAGCGGAACCTAGTTTGGGGGCTGGACTCAGGGACACTGCGCCCCGCAGATCGTTCCCGACCTGGTTTGTCAAAAGTCTTCCTACTTGGAGGAAGTTTTGGGGAGAGCCGGGGTGTCTGGCGACCACTGGGGCCCGCTGTAAGCGGACACGGGCGGCGCGGCCCGGGTTTGGGGCCTCCGGCGCTGCCCGCCCGATATAGCGGGTGATTCAGGGCTCAGGCACGCATCGCGGGGGCTGCGCCAGGCGAGGGACGCGGCTGCCAGCACGCCCCCGCGGACCCCGCATCGGCCTCGGCCGCCCACGCAGCCCCTCGCTGCGATCCTCTCCCGCCTCCCGGCACTTTCGGCCTTTAGGGACACCCTAGCCCGCGGCGCGCCCCTACCCCTCGGCCTGTTGGAAGCAGCCGCGCGAGGGTGGTGTCCGGCGGCGTGAGGTGTCCTGAAGGGGCTGGTGGAGGGGAGGGGACAGCACCCCCAACCTTGGCCCCGCGGTCTGGGCGCGGTGAATCACCCCGCATGCCTGCGGGGGCGGCCGAGGAGCAGGAGGACAAGCTGCCGGAGGCTGGCGCGCCGCAGGCTCCGCCCAGTCAGCTTGTTGCTTCCTTTGCACCTCTCCCGGTTCTTCCCGCCTGGAAAAAAAAAATGGGAGTTTTTGTATCCTAACCCCAAGTAAACCAGGGCATCTCAGGATCACTGCTCTTCTCCACTTTGCCGCCCAAATTCCATTAGGGGCGGGTCTGAGCCGAGGGCTCGGTGATCTTGGGTGGGGTGGGAACGTGCCCAGCCTCGTGTTTCTGCTTCCCTCGGCCTGGTTGACGTTCCCACCCCAAGGAGGTGAGATCCTGGGAGTCGAGGGGTTAGTCTATGTCCTCTCTCTCCCCTCCCCGCATCGAAGGGAATGTGAAAAAAAGAAGGCCCGATTTCCCACATCCCCCGAGGGAGAGGGCCTCTGTCCCGGAGATGTGGTTTCACTGACAGCTCAGAGGCCCTCCCCAGCTATGTTCTGAGTGACCATCAGGGATGCGGCGAGGTCCTTGGTTTCGCCAGTGTGGTGGAGCTAAGAGAAATGCAGATTGAAACAAGCAAGGTCGGGAGCAGTAGATTTAAGTGAGCTGGCACTCATCTGAGAAGAAGGTGCTGGGAGGAGGCTGCAAGGTTGCTCCCCCTTTTCTCCTCCCTCCAGGAACTCCTCCCAAGAGGTACTGACCTTTAAACAGTTGACTTCCCCCCCTGCCCAATATAGCACTAACTGATAGAAAACATTTGCCCAGAATTGTTTCTACTTAATTTAACTGCTCCGAGGAAGCAGAATGGGGGGTGGGGTGGGTGGGTGAGATTTTTTAAGAGAACTGCCTAGCACTGGGGTGCATCAAACGAAGGAGAAGAGGGCAGGGCTCTGGGACAGTAGGCCCCCTCTATCTTCTTTCCAGAGCCTGGTGTGGGAGAGGGGAGCCATGAAGGGCTTGGATGGTTGACCCTTCTCATTCAAAATGTCCCAGACCACAGAACTGGAGTGTCAAAGATGGAGATTCTGAGAGACTTCTGGGCAGAGCCCAACGGCGTGTCTGTTACTGCCTCTAGCCAGTTGGCACAGATTATGTGTCTGTGTATTGTGTATCCACGGTGGGGAGGGGGTCTTAATCACAGGGTGGCTTTGATTGCATCAAGGCTAGTGGGGGACAGAGGGTTGAGGTAGAGGAATGACTCAAGCTGGAGACCTTGAGCCCCCAGATCACAGGGGAAATAACTAATACCTAAAGTGGTCCCAACCCATGGTGAAGCTCTGGGGGAAAAAATTCCAGCAACAGGGGTGGGGCCCAAGGCAGCGGAACTTCCCTGAGTTGCAGAGCAGATGTTCCAGGTGGGGTTGAGGGGGTGGGGTACTCAGCTGTTGGAGGAAAGCAGAGGCTGCTTCTCCCTGAGGCCTGCAGGCCTGGGAAGAGAATGAGGTAAAAATAGCCTCATGCCTTGGCAGACCTAATAGGGAAGCTTGGGGGCAGCAACATTTATGATAAAGTTGGGCTGAGGGGGTAGGATGTTTGGGTGGCCAGGCAGAGAGATCTGGGGAAAGGCTGCCCTGGGATGATGTGAGTTTTCCAGTTGGTGAGGGGATGTGGTGTTCCCCACTGCAGAGGCGGGAGGTGATGATGTGGCAAAAGGGGGATGTGGAGGGAGCGTGAAGGGGTGGGAATGCCCCAGCTGTGGGATCAGGCCATTTGGTTTCCCACACCTTTTTCCTGCTGGATAACAGAGGGAATCCCTTGTGCGGTCCCACCCAAATTCAGGGAACTGCTAGGCATAACGATTTCACAGGTTAAGTTTGCATTTGACATCCCTCCCCTTCACACACCCACACCCACCCCCACCCCCACCCCACACACACACACATGAAATTCAGCCCCTCCCATCACAGGATATCAGAGCCCTCACCTTGAACTCACTTCTGAGTCATTATTGTCCTTCTTTGGCATTTCCCTCCTTGTTTCCCAAACAAAAACAGCAGTTTGGCATCCCATCCTATCAGGCAACACCTCACTAGGCAACAGCCAGTGAGGGAGAGAAGTGAATCCTACTAGTAGCTGAGGGGTCAGTGGACCAAGAACTGCTAGGAAGACCAGGCCAGCTACGGCCCCATGCAAATAGGAGCGTCTGTGCTCAGTAAGGAGGGGTTCCCAGATGGCTCAGCAGTAAACAATCCGCCTGCCAAGCAGGAGACTCTGGTTCGATCCCTGGGTCAGGAAAGAAATGTCAACCCACTGCAGTATTCTTGCTTGGAAAATCCCATGGACGGAGGAACCTGGCAGGCTCCTCATTAAGGAGCCAATTCTCCTAATCCTAGTATCCAATCCTAGTTTGGATGTTATTAGAGTTATTTTAGAATCCAGAAAGGGAGGCTAAAATGGAAATAAATGTGTTCTGAAGTAGTTTTGATGAAGCAATTGGTGACCTACATTTGGACCCATCAGACCTGCTCCAAGGGCTTGAGAGCAGGACCAGAAGCATTTAAGGGCTTATGTGGAGCATGAGCATTAAAGGGGTGGACACCAGGGCTGGCGTGAGGGCCTCCTGGCTTCTCCTCCTCAAATCCTAAACCAGACTATAGCTCCTGCCTGGACTCAAAGCAAATCAGTGCTACCTGGTTCCAGAAGAACCCCACACTTTTGTCCAAAATATCATCCCAACTTGGGGCTCTGGTCCCTCTCACCCCCTGGTGGCCTAGTGGAGAGTGTTTACCATACGCTTCCTCCAAAAAGCTAAGTTTGGGTTGTTTTTCCTGGTCACTGGATACAAGTGTTAGTTGCTCGGTTGTGTCTGACTCTTTGCAACCCCATGGACTGTAGCCCGCCAGGCTCTTCTGTCCACTGAATTCTCCAGGCAAGAATACTGGAGTTGGTTGCCATTCCCTTCTCCAGGGGATCTTCCTGACCCAGGTATCGAACCAGAGTCTCCCGCATTGTGGACAGATTCTTTACTGTCTGAACCACCAGAGAATCCAAAAATCTACCAGTGGATCCAAAACAGGGAGCATATTCTTAGAGGTATTCCTAAAGACCAAAGGAAATCATACTCCTACCTCTGATTTTTTTAAAGTGAAGTCTGAGATGGGCAATTGATAGGGAGAGGGAATATTGTTGCCAGGCAACCAACCACAAAGATAAGTGGTGGTTTGTTCCATTATTTTGAACTACCATTGTGAATAGTTCATCATTCTGTCACTGTAGACTTTTTGAGCTGGAAGATGCTTTGGAGATAGTCAACTTCAGCTGTTTCATTTTGTAGTGAAGGAAGTTGAGGTCCCAAGAGGGGAAATCACTTACCTATTGCTACTCAAGCACTTGGGGGTCAAAGCTGAGGCAAGGGCCCAGGTGTACCCCCTTCTTCTGCTATATTCTCTGCTCCTTGCTTCCTCCTTCTTTTCCTGGGCTATGCAGCAGAAATTGGGGTTGGGGGAGGCTAGCCCTAAGCAAGGACAGTCCTAGCTTCTTCATTCTCTGAGGGAGATAGCTGCACAGTTCTGGCACTGGGACAGATTTGGGGGGGGGCATGTGTGTTTGTGAGGATGTGTGTGCCTGAAGGTGTGTGTATGAGGGTGTGTGGGTTGGGGGTATGTGTGTGTGTGTGTGACTGTGTGTGAGAGGGCTTGTGTGTGAGGGTGTGTCTGTGTGAGGGTATGAGTGTGTGTGAGGGTGTGTGTGTACAGTGTTAGCTGAGGGGCTAAGGTGGGTGGCCACAGCTGCTCAGCCTCATAGTGCTGAAGCAGAGGCAATGTGTGGTCACCTGGCCCAGTGGCCGTGGAGGGGAGGGGTGCAGGGTGTACGGAGTGGAGCTCTCTGGCCAGGAGGAGACCACATTGGCTCCTTTCTCCTCAGCCTCCCTGCCACTCCTCTCTTCTCCCTGAATCCTACAGGGAAGGTGGGCATTTGCTGTGTTGGGTTTTGTGGCTGCACACCTTAACACTGTTGCCGCTGGAGTCTGGCAGTGCCCACAAATGTCCCTCTCCCCTGACTTCTCATGACTCCAGAGCAAGAGCAGCAACTCAGCTCTCAGGAGGGAGAGTTGGGAGCTGCTGCTGGGTGCCTCAGGACCTAGGCTCATGGGTCATTAAAACGGCTTGGTTGTTTTTTTTTTCGGCCTTGCCACATGGCATGCAGGATCTTAATTCCCCAACCAGGGGTCGAACCTGTGCCCCTTTCAGTGGAAGTGAGAAGCCCTAACCACTGGACTGCTAGGGAATGCCCAAAATAAGCTTGG